TGGGTTGCTTAGTGAGGTTGACAATGCTGAGAAACCTATTTCAAACTGTGCTTTTAACCTCCAAAGTTGCAAAATACAATTTTGGACCAAAAATGGAAATTAGTTTTTGGATCGGCATTTCTGCTACAGAAGTCGTATTGGCGTTCCAAGTGTACCAAGCAACCCGAAAAATAGTGGCCAACAATCGGCTCGCTGTATGTATGGACCTAAAACGAACGGAAATAGCTTTTTTAGTGAAAGGGAAACTTCAAGTCGGCTGTCTGGTGCCGTAAATTTGGTTTTCAAATTGATTTTAGAACTGTTTCACATATCCAAAAGTCCATTCCATTGTCACTCACGGATAGGAAATTTTGCGTAGAATCTAAAAATGACCTCGTTTACTCAGTTCGATGCAGTTTTGACAAAGTTCTGTTTAATTTGGTTCGGCCGCGCGGCCCAGCCGCCCGGCCGCTCCTTGCCGGCCCGAGCGGCGCGCATAGCTTCACGCGCGCACTAGGCTGTTGCCACCCCCTGGCAGCGGGCAGGGCGGGGCGGGGCGGGGCCGCGACCCAAAATGTTGCGGGTGCGCGATGGGGCTTGTTTCCTTATTTTGGCGCGGCTGCGCGGCTGCCAGTCACCGTCTCGCTCTTGCCCTCCTCCTCTTGATATTGTTTCGAAAAAAATCAATTTGCATGCAAATTCGCAGTGGCGTGGCGTGGCTGCTGTCTGGCGGCGCCCCATAATGATCCTGTTGGGTCTTCAATAAAAGTTGCGCGCGGCATGTGACAAAAATTGATAAGAAATGTCGCGAAAAGTCGCGATGAATTTTTGTCTCGGTCGGTCATTGCGCGCGGCGCGAGTCGAGCGCGCGCCTCCTCTCGTTCACTCTACAAAAAATGTCCTGTCAACGCCGTTAATTTATTACCAATGTTTGCTGTTATGCAATTCACGGCGTTTGCTGTGAACTAGTTCACGGCGTTAACTGTGATCTCGGCAACAGTGTTTACTGTGATCTGGCCACAGTAAACGCCGTGAATTGGAGCCTGATTTGCAGTCCTTCGGTGCTCAGCGGCGTCAAACTCACAGAGTTTACTGGGGACCAGATCACAGTGAACACCGCGAACAAGATCACAGTGAATCCCGTGAGCAGATCACAGTAAACGCTGTGAATTGACCTACAGTGAAAACTGGTAATAAATTAACGGCATTTACAGGACATTTTTGGTAGAGTGTTCCATTACGCTTGTATTCAGATTGATATTCATGACGCGGCGGTCTGCTGATTCCGCCCTCACTTTGCGGTTGGCGGCCGAGGCCAGGGCCGAGGCAGTTCGGCCAGTTTGTTGCTGTTCGGTTTGTGTTCCCTCTCGCGCGGCCCGGAGTCCCGGAGTCGCGGCCGGGCTGGCGCGCCAGAAGAACTGGCAAGGAAGTTGAGACACTCGCGGAGCTCCATCGTATAGGGGAAGTTGCCAAAATTGTGGGTCCTTTTGTGTCTTTGGGCCACAGTTTCCTTATTTTTCGACGTATTGACCTGCGGTTTGATTCCTATGACTGGGCTTCATCTCCCCTGCTATCCCACACACTAACTGAGCATGCAGTCCAAGCAGTTTCCTGTCAAAACAGGCTAAAACTGGGCAAAATGTAACTTCCGTGCTGTCCATTGTCCAAAAAGTCCGTGTTCCAAGGCGAACATCTCCTGAACTATTTGTCGGAGAGCAAATCCGCGAACAGCCTTTTGTTCCGTTGGCAACCCTTTATGACACCCTTGGATAGCAATTTCTTCCTGTGACTCTCACCTCCTGCTTTATTGGATGAAAAAATGTCCACCGTGTACTGGTTTTCAAACATCGTCAGCTTTAGTTTCGCGCCTCAGCGCCGAACCTGTAGCGGGAAAAGTTCGGCTCAGCGTCCAGAATCAGCAGCACGGTTTCCTCTTTCCAGCGCGGTAGGTGGCTTTTCGCTGGAGGGCTCCATTCCGGCTGGCTAGACCATCGAAGGTAAAAATCCGGCATGTGTCAGGTTTGTGTGTAACATTCCGTGTCATCAATAGCGGGCTTGCTACTCGACCTACCGACTTCAGTCCACCTGGCCATTTTGCGCTTTCACGTCTTTTAAACTTTAGGCGAGACACCTGTTCGATTTGGTGAACGGGTTGGTCCGTTTTCGCGGTTTGTTTGATGATGTAACTTCCGTGCCATGCACATTTTCGGTAACTTCCGTGCCATTCCCCCATGTAAAGTATAGGGGAAAAATCGAAGTGCGAGAAAATCCTGGCCTCCTTCGGAAATGCGTTTAGAATGACCCCTAGAATACAGGAAAAATACTAAAAAAAATTTAGAACGAGATATTTTTTTCATTTTTTTAGGAGCCAAAAGGAGCCACAATTTTGGCAACTTCCCATAGTCCCCAGACGGGACTCGAATCAAGCTCACAATGGCGCCGGCACCGACGGGTTCCTGTTTGGAAGGTCGGACCTCGAATGCGAGGCCGCCGAGGCCGGCCACCTCGCAGACATGCAGGTCGTGGCGCTTTGAACTTGACGCGCGGCGACCGCGCCGTAACTCGGTTAGTGCTAATCCCGCGGGAGTGGCTCTGCCGGGCTCTGCCTTGACGGGGACACTGTGGGACGGGGTATTAAACGCGACGATTACCTCTGACGGCCGTGTCGGGCTGGCGGGCTGGCCGTGGTGATGCCAGGCCTGGACGGCCTGGACGGCCGAGGGAAGCGGATGGCGGGACCCCAAATAATAATTGGTTTAAGGCTGCCATGCAGACGCAGGCTGGACGGGCGGGGCGGAGCGGACGGGGGACCGGCTGGAGCGGGACCAGCTCATTTCCCGTCCGAGAAAAGCAACCCTTCCGCCGCCGCGCGCCCTCCTCTCTCTCTCTCTCTCTCTCTCTCTCTCTCTCTCTCTCTCTCTCTCTCTCTCTCTCTCTCTCTCTCTCTCTTTCCTTCTCCCGCCCCGCCGTTGTCATTTTTGGCAATGAATGGTGTCCGTAGTGAGGCTGCAGCGTCCGGCCTGCCTGCCTCTTGTTTTTTTTTTCAGATTTCGCTTCCCCACGCATGTCCTGACTAATCCCGTTTTAATCGAAACTGGCCGGCATTTGTTACTGTTAGGGCGGCCGGCGTGAGGCAGCCAGGCCCAAGGCCAGGCCCCACTCGGCCGCGCTCCTACAGCGCAAATACCAGCCGAGCGGTAAGCGATACCCCGGCCGGCCGAGCGTCTCGCCGCTCCCCCGTATTTGAGCTCAAACCTCGCAGTGTAGGAAACCCTAAACCCCGGGGGTCCCTTAATCTCCCTGCCGGCCATGGCCTCGCCAGCGTGGTCGGAGATTCTGCCGGAATCTCCATCGGCTGGCCATAAATCGGGCCAGGCCTTGCAGTGCAGGTACCGCGGGGCGCAAAAGCGGCGCGCAAAAGCGGAGCACTTCCGGGTATTCGAACCCCCGGCCGGCCGGCCGACAATGCGTGTGTCGCTCTCTTTGCCCGCGCCAATCCCGCGTGCCGGAGTGCCACGGAGTGCCATCCGCTAACGTCCTTTCCTTTCTCACTCCAACTCGGCAATATATAACTTCTCCGGTTTCAATATATACGGCGGAGTGGAGAGGGCGCGCGATTCTCTTGCAAGGGGAGGGGGAGGGGAGGGGGCGCCCCGAGCACTGGCGCGGCTCGGAGCTCGAATGCCACCCCAACAGAGAGGAGCCGGGCCGCCGAGTAAAAAGGCGGGGCGGCCAGAGCGGCACCCAATCTTTCGGCCCTAAACAAAGTTGCTGTTAAATAAAATGGCCGACGCGGAAAAATAATGTGGCTCGTTTGCGCGGCGCGGTGCACGGCCTCGAGGAGCGCGTCGTGGCGGACACGGCGGCCTTTGTGTCCTCCGCGGTGCACGGCCTCGAGGAGCGCGTCGTGGCGGACACGGCGGCCTTTGTGTCCTCCGCGGTGCACGGCCTCGCTGGCCTCGCTAGACGGACGGCACGAATAACGGCCGTACCGCGGCGCTGAATGCTGAAAGTGCTGGAGTCGGAATGTGTTCTGGCCGTGCAGGCCGTGCAGGCCGTGCCTGTCTGCGTGCCCGGACGCCCTGACGCCCCAAATGATGCGTGCTGACGGCCGGAACGGCTGGAGTGCCGTCCGGCCCGGGGACGCCGCCGGAGTCTGTCTGTGTTTCGACCGACGGGCTGCTCGGGGCGCCGAGGCCCGCGCCCAGGGCTGCCGATGCCTGTCGAGAGGAAGGCGCTGAGGCGGCCATTCTCGCCTTTACGACCGCTCGCCGCGACTAACGGCGGCCTTTGGCGTGCCTAGGCCCTTGGCGGCCAGGTCGGTCGCCATGCCGCATGTGTGGACCATGGACGCGCCGCTGTGGGCCCTCGCCATTTCGATTAAAACTTCCACCAGTCACGCGCTGCCATGGCGCTGCCATGGGGCGGCGCTGCCGCCGGGATGGACGTGTTGCCCCTCTTTTTCATGGCGCTTTTTATCGCCCCGAACCTGTTCGTAGTGTAGTGCCAACGAGTTGGATTATCGCTGCTGTTCTGTTGTTGCTTGCTTTCCCCTCCCCCGCCCCTCCGACGATCGAATCGCGCTGCGGATTAATTTTCGCGCAGTTTGTTTTCGTTTTTCGGGTCCCCGCTGGACACGCCGCATGACACGCTCCGACGCGTCCTCAGGTGTCTGGCTGTGAGTGATGATGGTCGAGTGGCGCTGGGCCTGGCCTGCCCTGGCCTGGCACGCCCCCGCCGCCGTTCCGTCGCCAACGCTTGTCGATGCGCCCGCGCACACAGTGTAGCACACGGTAGGGTAGCGCGCTGACACACTTGTTTGCGTTGGGTGATGAACCTCTTTTATACTCCGACATACGGCCGAAAGAGCCCATGCAAGGTTCATGATGGGGGCAAACAGACGCCGTGCTAAAAGGCCAAGGTTCGCCTTCAGCAGCAGCACCCCTCCCGTTTTTCCCTCCAAAAAATTTCCAATAATTGCAGCGCAAATAACGCTGATTTGTTTCTTTTTTGTTCGCCAGGTGGCTCTGTGTGACGACTACAGCCTGCCGGTGGACTTCGTGAACAAGGCGCGGACGCTGCGCCACTGGAGGCCGCTCAGCGCGTGCGAGGCCTCCATCGAGCTGCTCGACACCTACTGCGACCCCCGCGACTCCAAGGCCTACCTGGTGCCGGGCGAGGAGGGCGTCGGCAAGGTGTACACCAGCCCGGACCGCGAGTACACGCACCCCTACGCAGGTCAGTATCGCGCTGCCGCTCGGCTGCCGCCCCCCGGGGCCGTGCCGTGCCGGGCCGCGCGCACGGTAATCTCGTGGCGGTCGTGTGCCCCTTGATGAAGGACTGCCTTCGCTCCGCTCCGCCGCGCCGCCACGCCGCGCCACCGCGACAAGGCCTTGCTTAGCCCCGGGCCAGACCCATCATGATTCCTTAATGATGTGGCGTCATCCCTCGGCGCACCGCTGGCTCGCTGGCTCGAGGAGCTGAAGCTCTTGGTTCCGGGGACAAACTCTCCGGCGCCGCGCTGTGCCGCGCTGTGCCGCGGACGCACAGGCCGGCGGGCGACGGGCGGACGTCCACACGAGAAGTTTAAGTTCGATGGACGGATGTGCGCGCCCCCCCCCTGTCCCCGCCCCTCCCCGCCAGCGAGCTTGGTTATGAGGCCGACTCGGAATAATGGGCTCGCCCTCGGCTCTCCATTAGCAGACGCTAATGTAACTAACGCAGTGCCGGAGTGTCGGCCTCGGTGACGGCCTCGGCGAGGGCCCCGCGGACCGCGCCGCACAGTGGGCTAGAAGACCGGTCGAGGCGGCCAAAACTCTAGACGCGTTTTGAGCCCCAGAGTCGCTAAAGAGGACTCGAACCGAGCGTGTGACCCCCACCAATGGACTCCTCGTTCGGAGAGCTACCCATTTATGGGGTCACACGTTCGGTTCAAGTCCCATTTAGCGACTCTGGAGCTCAAAACGCTTGTAGAATTTTGGCCGCCTCCACCCGCCTCCACCGGTCTTCTTCTGGCCCACTGTGCTGCAGCGGCGCCGGCGCCGCTACCTGGGCATAAAACTATGTTGATGGCCTTGTTTGTGGCCGGGGCGTTAAATGGACTGTAGCGCGCGGAACGATGAGCGACTCTTTCAGAAATGCGAGACTGCCTAACTTTATGGTGTGGGACACGTGTTGATCGGCACACTCGCTTCGCGCTGGTTTCCTTTCTCCCTCGCACTTGTGCATCGCGCACAAGGCTGGCGCTGGCGATAGCGCTGGGAGCGCCGCTGTGGGGCGGCTGGTTCGGGCCGAGTGCGCGCGTCGGGCAGACGTCACTTGCCGTCGCGCCTCCTAAGGGGAGGGGGGGCGCTGTCTTCGTTTGGAAGTTAATAACGAAAACTTTGAGATCCACTCCCGTCTAAACTTGATCTCCGAGTGTGATTTAGAAGGCGCTGCAGGCTCGGTCACGTTCCGGGCGTGGCTGGCGGGGCTGGCGGGGCTGGCGGGGCTGGCGGGGCTGGCGGGGCTGGCGGGGCTGGCGGGCTGGCGGGGCTGGCGGGGCTGGCGAGGCTGGCGGGGCTGGCGGGGCTGGCGGGGCTGGCGGGGCTGGCGGGGCTGGCGGGGCTGGCGGGGCTGGCGGGCTGGCGGGGCTGGCGAGGCTGGCGGGGCTGGCGGGGCTGGCGAGGCTGGCGGGGCTGGCGGGGCTCCGTTACGGTAATGGGGCCGCACTGTCGCACCGAGCCGAGCCCCTCCAAGCCTCACGCCTCACCCCGATCGACAAGGGCCGGGAAAAATTTTGTCATCCGCTTCCAGAAAATTTGAAGACGCGCGCCATCGTGTCGGAGTGATCGGAACGGAACGAGCTCGCCGCTCGCTCGGCGGGGGACGCGGCACCGCGCCGCACCGGCTGACTGAGTTGGGCGCGAGTTTCCAAGTGGACCTGACAGCGGCACGCTACGCGACGCCACGGCACGCCAGCTCCACAGACAGTCGCCTGGTTGCGGACCGCGCTTTCGTCGCTCTGACTCTCTCGCACTCGTGGGGCGTTCTGTAGGGGTGCGAGGGTGACGGAGCGACGAGGCACTGCTCGAAATCAGACTACAGTGCAGCAGTGGCGCGAATCATTCAGCGTTTCACGGTGACACCCCTTTTAGGAAATTAAGGATAACCTTCCCGCACAGACACGGCTCAGTGGGCGGGGCGGGGCGCGGCGCTAAAGCCGGCATAATTGTTCATTACGCCGGGATTTGTCTGCACACGGCGAGGAGGGGACCGAGTGGAAGGGGCGCTGCTGTGTCACTGCATGCCTGCCCGATGCCTGCCCGATGCCTGCACGCAGACTCACGTGGAAACGGACCCCAGCCCTCATGCGGCAGTTCGAGTGCGTCTGGAATAAACGCTTTCTCAAACGCGACACAAACTGCTGCTGCCATCACCGTCATCGCAGCCCGGTGCTTCACTCACGTCAAGGTGGAGACGTTGGGAGATGTGAGGCTGCCGCTCCCCTCGTGAGCGCGATACAGCGCAAGCGTGCGCAGGCAGGTAACCGTCTCACTTTGCAGGCTGGCAGCGTGCTGGCAGCCGGTGACTAGTTTCCCGCCGTAATTCAAACAGGTGAAGCGCGCTGCGAGGCTAGGGGCGCCAGGGGGCGCCAGCGGCGTAATTGGCGTTGTATTAACATTTAGCATGTTCCAGGCCCATCCTTGAAGGCGCCCTTAATGACTCTTATATCGCGGGGGAAGGGGGGCTGGGCCGAGGCGAGGGTCGCGTTAAGGGTCGCCTGCAGGGCTGTGGCGTCGGCCCGGACCGGCCCGCGCGGTTCGCGGCCATGGCCAAGCAGACCGCAGCCTCGTAGGCCCTGTGCCCGGGGCGGCAAGGGGCGGCCGGCCTAGATTACAGGGACAAGATGGCGTCGGGGATGCCAACTCCGCATGGTTCGGTGCCCGCGCCCCGCCCCGCGCCGCGCCCCGCCCCCCGCCCCGCGCCCCGCCCCGCGCCCCGCCCCGCCGCCGTCAAACCATCCGGAAGGGAAGGGCTGGTGCGTCACGCCGGGCTGTCCGGGCCACGCGCGCAGCGGCGCGGTGCGACGTCGCGCCCCGCCGGGCGGGACTGCGACAAATAATGGTTGGAATCAGCAGACTAAGCCCTGAGCGCGGAATTAGGAAAGACGGCTGTTCGTCACTCGCGGAGTCCGGACTCCCTGGCCAGACTTAGGCTGAGGCAAGGCAGAGCCGCGCATAGTGCGCCGCGAATTTTGAACTACTTATCGGGGCCACGAATCGGGATTCCCACCCCATCTCCATTTCAAATGAGCCCAGGGCGTTCGTTGGGCTTAACCGCGATGCACGGCGGCGGCACGGCTTTGCAGAGGGGGTCGCGGGGAGGGAGGTCCTTAAGACTCTCGGGGAGCTTGGGGTACAGGGGGTCGTTCTTTTGGACATGAGGTTGGAACCTGACGCTGCCGTCGCCCCCGGGGACTACGAGGACGTCGGGGACCACGGGGACCACGGGGACCACGGGGACCACGGAGACTGGGGCGGACGGGTAGGGGCGGCGTTGGGCCCGGGGTGGGGTTGGTTCGCAGCAAAGGAGGGCGTATTCTGTAATCGCATGAATGGCTCGTTGGGCACGGACGGGGTGGCGAGGGGAGGGGGTCGCCGCGCCCCGCTGGAATACGAATGCGGGGATAAGCAGGTGCGCTAAGTGACTGTAAATAATGGGCCGAACCAATGTCGTCCGTCATCGCCACGACACTGCGTGGCATGGCCTGGCACGGCCTGGCACGGCATGGCCACGGCCGCGGTGTGTGCCTCGAGGACCGCGGGGCGCCCTTTCGCCGCCTGTTTACCTACACTGCTAAACGTGGCGCGCGTTCCGCGGCCACCTTGCCGGATATTGCCTCCCTCCGGCCAAATCGCGCGCGCCCTCCCCCGCAGCAGCGCCAGCAGCGCCCCGAGACGGTGCGCGGCGCGCAAATTGAAAAGAAATTAGCCATTTGCCTGCCCCGGCCGGGCGCCATTCCAACGTCGTGCCGAGCCGTGGCCGGGCCGCGCAGTCGCGCAGCCGGTGCCAGTGCCAACTTGGACGCGGTCAGCACCCTGACCGCCCCGCCGCGGCCCGCGGTGTGCCCGCGGTGTGCCCGCGGTGTGCCCGCGGTGTGCCCGCGGTGTGCCCGCGGTGTGCCCGCGGTGTGGGCTAACTCGCGCCCCTCCAGCTCGCAGCTCACGTCAGCTTGTTGCTCCGGTTGCAGATGGCACGCGGGCTGGCGCTCGCTTCTGCAAGGCCGCCAAGGCCGCCAAGGTCGCGGCCCGCGCCGCAGCGGCGGCAGCAGCTGCAGAGGCCGCCGCCGCAGTAGCGGCCGCCAGCAGCGCCACCGCCACCGGCACAGTCAACCCTGGCGCCACTGCCACCACCGACGAGGAGGCGGACGCCGAGGAAGAGGACGACGACGACGAGGAGGAGGAGGAGCGGACGCCGAGGCCAAGCGCCCCGCCCGCCGAGGATGACGGCGCGTACGAGGACGTCATCGTGCAGGAGCTGCAAGAGCAGTACCTCCTGGAGCTGCAGCGACAGCAGCGACAGCAAGCCCGTGCCGGCGCCGCGGAGCTGCCGAGCCCCGGGAAGGTGGAGGGCCCTGCAGTAGAGCTGCCCGCGCCCCGCTGCCCTTACTACTACGCGGACCTGCTGCTGCCGCGACCGCCGCCGCGGGAACACCGCAAGCGAAGCACCGACACGAGGTGAGTTTCGCTTCCCTCGCACCCTGCTGGAGACCGTGTTCGTGTTCATCACCTTGTGCCTGTCTGCTTGCAGGCGCTACCGGAAGAGCGCGTCGGTGGACAGCGCGCCGCCGCTGCCGACGTCGGAGGCGCGCCCCTGCCCCCACTGCGAGTCCGGCGAGGACGCCGAAAGGGGCGGAGGGGCGCCAGGGCCAGGGCCAGGGCCAGGGCCAGGGCCCCACGGGGTGCACGGTGGGCGCTGCCTGCCCGCGCGGGGCTGGTCCCTGATCGAGGATGCGAGTGGCATGTCGCCGGTCAGTGGCGCCCTGGGCGGCGCCCCGCCCCAAAGCCACAGCGCCGACGGCGGCCTCGGCGACGACATGAGCCGGCGACTGCACCTGTACGAGACGGCGTTCGACTCCCGTGGCGCGGCGCCGCTCGACCGCCGCGGCGAGGACGTCGGCAACCACGCCATCCAGACTGTGAGCCCGGCCAAGGGCAGCCCCAAGGGCATCGCCCCGGGGCAGGACAGCCCAGCAGGCAGCGCTGGCGGCGCTGGCGGCGCGGTGGCTCTCAGCGCGTCGCTGGGCGGCCTGCAGCTGGACGGGGGCTCTGGCGGCAGTTCCTTGAGGGGCTACTCACCCCCGCCGCCCACCTCGGCACCGTCTTCCGCGCCTCTGCCCACCAAGTTCCCCGGCCACGGCCACGGCTCGCAGATCGGGGTCGGTAGATCCCTAATGTCGATCCGGTCCGCACCCTCCGCGCCGCACCTGGCCGCCATGGCCTCGGCCAGGCCGCAGCACGTCAGGGAGATCAAAGGGAGGCCGGTGAGCCTCGCCATGGCCACGTCCACGGCCTCCTCGTCGGCCTCGTCCGTGGACCCCGCCGCGGGGGCGGCAGCGTCCTCGCGGCAGGACTTCCCCTTGGCGGCCAGGCCTTCCCGCGCCAGGACCATCCTCGAGTTGAAAGGCCGGCCGTCGGCGTTGACGGGCCGCGCGGACAGACCCCTGTCGCTCGTCGCACCGCGCCGCCCCAAGTTCTCCTCCACCGAGTCCATGGCCACGTCGTCGTCGGGCGGCTCCTTGGAGTCGGTGCGGAGCTCCACCAGTGAAGGCGAGCGGTCCTCCTCCTCGGACGGCCGGCCCGGGTCCTCGTCGCTGTCCTCGCACTCGGAGGACTCCGCAGGGCCGCTTATGCTTCACGGGCCGTCCCCGGGGCCCACCAGGTAGGCAACCAAGCTGCTATCCCTCAAGGCACTGAGGGGAGTTCTTTTTTTTCTGGCGGTGTCATGACCTGACTGACCTCTGTATCTTCGTTCCCCAGCAGGATGTACGGCCACAACAGCACCAAGCTGCACATCCTGTCCCCCATCTCGGACAAGTCATCGCTCGAGCCGTGCTCCGAGACCTCCGACAACAACCGCAACAACAACTCGGAGCGCACCTCGCCGGAGCCCGGGGGTGACTGCACGCCCACTGGATCGACGACGGGGACGACGGGGACGGCCCTCGGCGGCACCTCGGGGGGCTCCGCGGCGGGCACCCCGACCGGGAAGGCGCCCTCCAGCATCGGCCTCAGCCTCAACCTGGACCAGCACTCGGCGGGCAAGAACAGCCGCTCCAGGAGGACGCCCAACAACCGGAACCTCATCGCCTTGTCCTTCCACGGCGTGCACGGCGTGCACGGCGTGCACGGCGTGCTCAACGCCAACAACATGGTGGGTAGTGCGGCGCTGCGCCGCGGCGCGCTGTGAGTTGGTCCGACTTGGCCCTCATTAAACGTGGTCTTCCCCTCCAGCACGCCGACGGCGAGGTCCCGGGGTCGGACTCCGGCATCTCAGTGGACGGCAGCAACCTGCGGTGGGCCAACAACTACCACCAGGACCTGGAGCACCTGCCCTTCGACATGCCCAAGCTGCGCCGTCGGCGGGCCAACCTGATCCTGGTGAGTCCTTGACCCTGTTTGCCGACATGGCGTGTCCCTTCGGCGTCCCTCATGGCCGCCCTTCGGCCTCCGCGTTGCAGGACGCGACCACGTCGGGCAGCGCTACGTCCGTGGAGGCGGGCAGCGCGGGCAGCGCGGGCAGTGCGGGCAGCTGCGGCGCGGGCCACGAGGACCTGCCCTTCGACATGCCCAAGCTGCGCCGCAAGCCGCGGACCTTCGCCGCCAACTCGCTCGCTGCCAACTCGTCCGAGTCCTCGTCCGCCAGCCAGTCCTCGGAGCCGCAGGACCCCGACGTGGAGCAAATGCTGCGGGACTTGCCCTTCGACATGCCCAAGCTCAGGAAGAAGCAGATGAGCCGGTCGTCCGAGTCGTCCTCCGCCAGCCAGTCAGACCCTTCCGTCTCCAAGGGTATGCAATGCCGCATGCAATGCCGCATGCAATGCCGCATGCAATGCCGCATGCAATGGCTGCCATCAAGCCCAGCGCGTCGCGACGTGTTACCTGACTGATGCTTGCAGGTCCGGGTGCGGGCGGCAGGCCGGCGCTGTCCCTCAACTTGGCTGCGGGCTTCGGCCAGTTCGGCGGCTGCAGCAGCCTGGGCACAGGGCCGGTCTCGGGGCCGGTCGGCCCGGCGGAGAGCTTCGGCAGCGGGGCGGCGAGTGCCTTCGCGCCGATGAACGTGACGCGCAGTTGCGGCACGGGGAGCCTGCGGGGAAGGCCGGGCCTGCCGGGGCTCAGCCTCAGCTTCGGCGCCAACTCCACCAACGCCCCCTCCGCCCACATCGACACCACCCTCCCCTTGGAGCGACAGGGGTGAGTACCGGCTGCCTGGCCGTGGCGGACCTGGCCTCGCCAACCGCCTGCTGCTTGCTCTACACCGCGACGCCACGGCGACGCCACGGCGACGCCGTCTGACGAACGGCCGGCTTGTTCTGCAGGTGGTACCTCGGCGCCATTTCCCGTCTGGAGGCGGAGAGGCTTCTTCGACAAGCGGGAGAGGGCAGCTACTTGGTGCGGAACTCCGAGTCGACGCGTCAAGACTTCTCCTTATCGCTCAAGTGAGTACTGCGTGTACCCAGTGTACCCACACTGTGCACGCCGAGTTTTGCAAGTGCCCCTCACGCGTCTCGCTTTTGCAGGAGTGCGCGCGGCTTCATGCACATGCGGATCCAGAAGGACGAGAACGGCCGCTTCATCCTGGGCCAGTTCTCGCGGCCCTTCGAGTCGGTGCCCGAGATGATCAGGCACTTCTCGGTGAACCGGCTACCCATCCGCGGCGCCGAGCACATGTGCCTGCTGCACCCGGTGATCCAGCCCCTGCTGTAGAAGAAGGCGGCGATGGCCTTTGTGATTTGGTGCATTTGTAGTTAGGAACCTGTACAAAGAGATGAGAAGGAATTGCCCTGAGGTTGACGCCCCCCTGCTGCGCGGCGCGGCGCGGCGCTGCTGCGAGGCGCGGTCGGTTGGGTTGCCTATCGGCACGGACAGGCTGCTTGGCCTCGGCTGGCTCGCTCGAGCCACTCGTCCGCGCCGATAGGCACGCCAGCCGACTGCAAAGCGCGACAAAGCCGCAACGCACGATTGCCGGCAAGACCGCTGGCCTGCTGCCCGAGTTGTCAAGAAATGAACTATTTTCGTTTACTTCGTCGAGAATCTTTCATTTTCTCACGGCGGAGGAGAGGGCAAAAGTGATACTGTTATTCATTTTAGTTATGTGTACACTGTAAATAATGTTATAGAGAAGGTAGAATTTATCAAAAATGCAACATTAGAAAACGATTGAGTTTTCAATAGATTTCTGTCTGTATGCTACACACTTCTTTTTGTGTAGTTATGTGTGGGTAATTAATTAAAGCCGGATGTAACATTCTAGGGGAACATGGAGATTAAAAAAAATGGTGGTAGTATAACAAATGTATTAAATTTGTAATTATGCAGATCATAAAAATTACCAATTAGACTGTAGGTAAAACTGACAGTGTTTTGATCAAGATAATGTATTACTGTGGTAGGTTGTGAAGCTGTGATGTGATTGATAATTTGTAGTTGAAACCCAGTCTTAGCATTTATGTGTTACTTGAAAACGTGTGTATACAAATTATTATTATATTCTTCAAGTATACTCTAAGTTGTCTAAAGTAGATCCTTGTGTGTTTAGTTACAAAAGCAGGGGCTGTATATCTATGAGCATTTCCATGTCTGTGTATCTGTGGGACTATCATGTGTGTCCTGTCCCTGAGGCCTGGCGGACGGCGGTCTCGCCAAGGGAAGGCCCAGCGTTACAGCCACCGTGTGGAAGGTTGGGCCCCTTTTCATCAGCCCTTATGGTAACTAAGTAGGTTGTGATGTGCATTGTTCTGAAAATCTTTTATTATCTACCTATCTTGTTCATTCGTGAAGTTGCATTGCGTCCATCTTGTCCGGTTTATCTCTTGTTATTTTATGTCACTGCATTCTTTACCATTGGTAGAGTCATCAGTCTTCCTGTGACTGTTTCTAGTCCACTTTTCTAGTCAGAATATTGATTGCCTTGTGTAAATCATATCAAGGATACCTGGACTCATTGTATTGGATACAAACCTTTTGCAGTTAGGAGAAATGGTAAAGATAATTTTTTTGAGTGGGCCTGATTTTGAAACTAACTTACTTGGCCCTGCTAATTCTCTTGTCCAGACATTCATTCAACTTCTCCTTACTGCTCTAGAGTTGTTTTCTAAATAAACAAGAGTCTTATTGATACTTGTGTCATGTAGAGATTATATGAAATGACTGAAACCAGCTTCTTTCTGTAACTATCATGTAAACATTGTTATCTTGAATGTATTGACTGCTTTCATGCTTGGTGTTAGAGATGAGGAATGGGTTGGCCCGGCGGGCCAGCGCCACTGTTGCAGTGGTATCGGCTGTGACAGTCCGTGTCGCCGAAGGTGGCTGGGCTAGCCGAAGATGCCGAGCCCACGGGCTCGGCTCAGCCCGCGGGCTGCCGGAGCCGAGCCAGGCCGGGCTGGGTAGCTGGCTGGCGGGCGGCGGCCGCCGGCGAGCCGAGCCGTGGCCGTGCCGCCGGCGTGCTGGCCGAAGTAGCCGGGGAAGAGGGCAGAGACGAGATACGAAATTTTGAATGAATGACAACAGAGCATAACAGTAAACACTCTATCGTAACCATGGAAGGGCTCCTCGCCTCACCAAATAGTTACAATTCGCAATGTGATTCAAATTTCCGAGCGCGCTTCTCGGTAGCGTGGTGACGTCAGCGCCATGCTGGGCCGCGCCGCAGGCAGCTCGCTAGCTCGCTCCCGTCCCGTCGCTTGCTGCCCGGCCCGGTGCCCGACTGTCTTCGTCATCCGCGTCTGTCCGTCTTCCCCCCAGCCGAGCCGAGCCGAGGCAGCAGCCCTCCAGCCCGCGGGCTGGGCTGGGCCGGCTGGGCCGGGCTGGGCTGGGCTGGGCTGGCGGTAGCGCTGCGCAGCCCGCAGCCCGGCCGGGCTGGCCCATTCCTCAACTCTACTTGGTGTCTGCTCTCAAGCAATTACATTCAGATGAGAACTGAAAAAAGAAATGTCCATAGGTTCACACTCAGAAACTGTCCATCTTTCATAAATCGTCCAATATAATAACATCATAGAAAGATTACAAGTCAACTCTTCTGAAGTTATTACTGACGTATTTACCAGCCACTTAGCATTTTATATTGTGTTGTTTACGTTACGGACAGCCTTGACTAATGTGAATGTTTCTCAAATTTTAGCAATGAGTTACTAATAATGACATGTAATGTGCCATATTAACAGTAATAAAGAAAACATCCCCAAACTACTTGTCTTATTATTGTGACCTAGAGATTAGCGGATCCAGCAAAAATAGAACATTTGTTTTTTCCTACCCTCTAGGGCGGCACCATAGACTTTGACTTTTTGAGAGGGGTGGAGGAGATGTTACTCCCTTCCCTAAACCCCACGGACGCAATTTTATTGTGATCTTTTAAAACGAGCACTGTACTTGCAGCGATGTCGTTTCAAAGTGCTGACAGTCTCCGAGCAGGCAGCACGGGGAATACTCGGGCGCGCCAGAGGCAGCCAAAGGCCTCGATTAGCGGCTGTCTGCATGCGGCGCGACGACCTCCCCGACTCCTCGCCCCGTTGCGACCTTGGAATGAGCGTTGCACCGATAGTGGCATCCTGTCCGCGACGGCAAGTGCATTAACCGCGGGGAATACCTTCGCCAACCAGCTGAATGAAACTCGCGCCACGTCCCACGTCCCCCTCCACCCTAAGTCTTGCCAACCTCCAAATATTTGCCTCCCCGATTCGCGTGCTGTAAATCATTCCTGACCCGATAAAATACCAGACAAACTGTTTTATTTGTTGCAAGCAATATTAAAGTTCTGTTTGAATTCCCCCGCCGCTTCAGTTCTCATTAATTCTGACACGATCAAAACTTCCGTTGGGTTGGTACGAATCTTATACAGTCGGTCTCACTCAACTTACCGTAACAACATCTGCATCGCCAATCGCACACCGGCGGCCAAGCTTTAGTGCCTCGAGCTTTTCAAAAACACACGTCACGTCAACCAACTTCGCCACCGCACTCGTCGCTATCGGTCGGTGAGTGGGTGTGCCTGCCTGTCGCCGGTCGCCGGGACCAGATTTCGCTAACGCAGAGACGAGAGACGACTGAGAGGGCGGCGATTGAGAGTGCAGAGTGCTCAGGCATTTGACTTCATCCTCGCTGCTGTGCTGCCGCACAATCGCCTACAGCGATGGAGGTACGTATTTTTGACTGCTTTTTACGGCAGTAGTAAAACATAGTGTATACCCATCCTCCCGTGAGAATAGGCTAGTCTTCTCTCTCGCACTCACGAGAAATCCTATCCTTCCTTGTCATTCGGTCCCACTACAGTCATATTCTTTCTTTTTCATGCAGGACCGATACATGGGTGACAGTATAGAAAGGAAGAACATCCATGGTTTTGCAGCTATGGTTGTCATAGCTGTTTTATTACTGAGTGAGTAAAAAGTATGTGCTGTGTATTATTTGAGCTGTGGCTCCTGTTGGTTCTCACACCCATTTGTTTGTTTGACAGGGAACTTTTTGTTGATTCACTCATGGCAGGATTTCAGTATGTATTTCTTTTAGCTTGCTGTGTTTGGTTTTGTAAGTTATTAGTGTCTAATTCAAGAATTTAGTTGCAGTCACTGTATTGCCCAGTCTTCCAATAATCTCGACAATTTTGATTTGGCGAATTTGCTTGTTTCTAAGTGAATTACCTCATGCCATAGATATGTAATTAAAAGATGTAGATTATTATTATTATGCACATTTATGACAATAGCGTCGTCTAAGGTTGATACCTTTTATTTATTTTCAGATGCTCTGGCAGCTACTTAACTTTACTTAAGAGAACAATGTTCTTTAACAGTGCTTCAAAAGTTGTCATATTAATTACAATTGCTTTATTCCCAACAGTGGGTATTCGCTTATGTGAACCTACCATTTTGTGTATAATTTGTAAAAACTTTTTGCCTTTCTTTTTCCCTAGCTCTTCCAGGAATTTTCTTTGAATGAGACATTTTTAAGGATTGTGCAATTGTATGGACTATCACCATGGCTTTTCTCCCTTTGTGCATCTTTTCTTATTTTCATTGTTTGTCGTTGGGTAAGATTGTTCTTCATTTTATTGCATGGACATTTCTTGCAAACCTTTGCCATAACAGCATTGTAATTTTCCTATAAATTATCATTTTTTCCAGGAGGAATGTGTTACATGGGAGGCACTCACAATGAAACGTTTAGATGGTCTTGACTATGGCTCTGGAATGGCACATTCCTTTTTTCATGGATATTTGAAGTTGATCCTTCCTGCCAAAGGAGATAACAACAAAAGTGTGAAACAAAGCTAGTGTATGCTATCCCGCTTCCTTGTGTGGTAAAACATTAAAATTTTGTCTTTCTTTCCTGTTAGGTCTTCGTGACAGAATAAATGACTACATAGAAAAAGAAAATTTGACTGATGAGCATTTCCCTGTCAAGAAGCTAATAGTTTTTATACCTAGATCAGGATACTCGCATCCAACTTTTAGTGATGTCCCATCACAGAAAGCAAGTGACAGAGATGTTGAACCTGCTGAGGTAAGTGGCTTGATATTTTATGGTTTTGTTTGGTTTTGTTTTTACTAATGCTTGTATTCCATTTTCTTAAAACTATAGAGATTGCAAGACCATCTACGAGATAGGGCAGGAACACGGGCAAGATGTTATCGTGGTGGGGCATATCGCGTACGTGTACGATCTGGAAATCAGGTTTCAGCATTATATGCAATAGCAGAGTATGCTACATCTGTGTTGACATTCCGAGAAGCCTACTCAACTGGTTCCCATGAAGCTGGTATGAATTCTGTGAAAATCAACAGTATGGATAAATTAGGATAACTGAGGATTAATCATATTTCTTTTTCAGGACGGTTGCGCGAACACAAGCATGATGTTACCTCCAATTTCTACAGGACTCTCCGATATCTAATCGATCATGATCCAGATTGTCGAGATTTGGTAGCATTAATTTACTTTGATGGTAAGGAGTTGTTTAGATATTTTTCACTTATCTCCCAACAATCAAATCTAATTTTTTGGGGTTATCTTATTTTTAGATGAAGACCTTTCTACCGGGAAGGATGTCATATCACTCTTGCAAGAGTTTTTGCTTCAAAATTGCACTGCCTTGCCATGATTTTGATGATTTTGACCTACTGTATCAGTTATAAATTTGACTACATACAAATAAAATAATAACAAATGTTTAAATAGACAATTTATTACTTATGTAGAAAAAGAAAATACTATACAACACTTGCTCTTCAGTAAAATCACAGATATGAGATGAATCAAATTTATATTGTAGCACTATTAGGAATTCCAGAAGAATTATCTATCTCCTCTTTGTACAAGTACCCTGGTTTTCCTGTCCTTCGATAATAGGAGCGTTGCTTCAAATATTCTTCAACACATTCTTGACGAAAGTCTTCATCATAAAACCATTTCTTTGAACAATCCAAGAGGCTATCTCTCTCTTGACGACATTTGATACCAACCAAAAGACCTGCCTCCCCACCACATTTGTCTAAAACTGAAAATTGAAATATTTTTGAAGGATTATATAAATGGAAGCCAATTATTCACTCTTATTTCATTTCAATAAACAAACCAGACTTGGGGAAAATTTACCTTCGGCTTCAGCGTGGCACTTCTCTTCATGCATTTTCTTTCTCAACAAATTCAAAATCAGAATATCTCTTTCAACTTTCCGCAATGTTCTATCATCTGGATCACCTAAAAATGGAAACAAAATAATTGCCATGAACCAAAGAAATAAGAAATGGAAACAGTTGATCAAAACTTCATGAGAGGTGTTAGCTGCAATCACCGCTAGCAGACGCATGCAATCATAGGTTAAAGATTTTAACTAAGAAATAACATAGTTTGTTTTACCCAAATTCATTGGACCTCCCCCCATATGAGGTGGAAGCACGTGACCCTGCTTTTCAGCAGCATCGGTGTTCAAAACATTCCCCATTTCTATGCTTCAGAGCGAATGTTATGAACGATGAATGATAGTTTGTCTTCTGCTAGCTAGTTCGATCACTCGCGACTCCCGCGAGCGACTTCTCTCTCGCTTTTTCCAAAACTTTTCTTTTTACTCAACAGAAAAATGCGTGATATCTAGAAACTTCATTTAAATAAAATACTCCCAAACTTAAGATATAGGCTTCAGATTACTTTTCGTTTGGCTTCTAAATAGTTTTAACGGTTTGGATTCATAGGTCGCAGCCATGACGTAGAAGAAGAAGAAGAGGACAAAGAACGCACCGCCATGTTTCTCGTTGATCCCTCCTCAGTCGCCTTCCGGTTCCTTTCAAGTTCGTGATCAGGATGGCGGACACGTAAGTGTTGTATTTGTCTTGTATTTATCTAAATCCATCAGGGTAAATACGTTTTGAATCCGAAATTCGCGTTATCTGTCGAAATTTTAGCACTTTCCCCCGATCAATTTTCACTACCCGTTCAAATACGGCTGCTGTAGGCTTCTGTGTTTACTCTTTTCTCGGCATGGACGGTGTTCCTACTTCATTATTCCTCTGTTTATGTGCTGTTTTGGTACTCATTTCGGAATTTTTAGTATCAGCGTTCTCGTTTTTCACCCTAATTTAGTAGTGGCTCTAGGTTAGTTTCTTCCCTACGAGTAGTACTATTTCTGTCAATAGTTGGCGGATCAGGTTATGTGCCGGCATCCATGCGTGCCTAACCTAGTATTATTGTGGCCGTTTGTTTGTGCGAGCTGATGCATCGCGCTTGTGCGAGTGACTCTTGTTGCCAGGTAGCCCGTCTGGGTTTGGACTTGTGTGTACTGACTCTCTCCTCTTTCTTGACTGTTGCAGAGCTAAGAAAACCAAGGCCCCTCAGGTCAAGGGCCTGCCCGCAGTCCCCGAGACCGTCTTGAAGCGCAGGAAGCGCCGCGATGAGGCCGTCCTCGCCCGCGCCAAGACCGCTTTGGCCGTAAGTGTTCAGACCTATCATCGCAGTGTACCTGTCTGCCCGTGCTGGATTGTTGTGGTCCTGAAAGCAGTCCTTGTTTGTTGTTGTAGAACCGTGCCAACCGCATTGCTACCAGGAGGGTGATCTTCAAGCGCGCTGAGCTTTACCAGAGGGAGTACATTCGCATGGAACGTGACGAGATCCGTTGCCACCGACGGGCCGTCAAGAAGGGGAACTACTATGTGCCCTCTGAAGCGAAGATGGCATTTGTTATTAGGATCCGTGGGTACGTGTTGTCAATGACACTTTTGGACAAGTCTTGTGGCAGTGGGTCACCTCTCATTCCAATTTTGCTGTTTCAGTATCAACAAAGTTGCCCCCAAGGTCAGGAAGGTTCTTCAGCTCTTCCGCTTGAGGCAGATCAACAACGGAGTCTTCATCAAGCTTAACAAGGCTACCGTGAATATGTTGAGAATCTGTGAACCCTACGTCACCTGGGGCTACCCTAACTTGAAGAGTGTGAGGGAGCTTGTCTACAAGCGTGGTTTCGGCAAGGTTAATGGACAGCGTATCCCCATTACCTCCAACGAGATTATTGAGGGAACCCTGAGTAAGTCTTGTCTCGTCGTGGGACTCTTCTAAGGGATTCACTCAACGTTGCTATTTCCAATCTTCATTGTCTGCTTCCAGAATCCAAGGATATCCTCTGCACAGAAGATGTTATCCATGAAATTTTCACTGTTGGCAAGAACTTCAAGTATGCCTCTAACTTCCTGTGGCCATTCAAGGTAGGGTGTAAATGAATATTTTTGTTTAGTTTCCAACAAAACTATGGCATCAAATGTGTACTATTCTGATGCTTTCCATGTTGTTGGACATTATCTGACAACTGATATGCAATGTTTGTGATGAATTACTTACTTGTTGTTGGTTGTCTTACAATATAGTGTGTAGTAGGTGCATGCCTTTCTTTTATCAGCAGGACCTATTTTATAGGGCTCTGTTATTCTCTGGGTTTTTAAAACAAGCATCTTAACTGTTCACTGTTCTCTTTTTAATATCCATGATTTGCCCTGTCTATGAATTTAATGTGGTCACCCAATGAGGTAAACTGAATTGGTAATATGGGTATCAGATGCAGGATACTTTCAAAGCTCTTAATTTTTGTATAAATTGGTTGGCAAGGTTCATCACCCAACCTTCTCAGCTCTGGAAGCGACAGGACCTTGTCAAAGGGTCAGTTATCAGATGGAAGTTTGCTTGTTGTACATCATACCTGTCAGATTAGTAAGAGAAGAGCTGACATGCTCTGAAGGGGCAGTAAGCAAAAAATGTCAAACCTGGGAAGAACCAATCATGATGGATGAGGTCTATAAATTGTCTATATACACCCATGTGTTCTTGGTTAAAATGAAGTTCTGCCTGGGCTTACAAGCTCAATCTATGTATTTACTGTACTTTGGTTTCTTCTTGGTCTAAGATGCATTGCTGATGAAATTTTGTTTTGAACTGTGCTGCTAAATAAGTTACAGGTTGTAGCCCCAAGATATTGGGCTACATTTCAGAGTTTCACTGGTTCAATTGTGCATGAGTTACATCTTCCTAATTGTGGCTTACTTTGTTTCTTTCAGTTGAACACTCCCACTGGCGGCTGGAGAAGGAAGAACAACCATTACGTTGAGGGTGGTGACTTCGGCAACAGGGAAGACAAGATCAATGAACTGCTGAGGCGAATGGTGTAAACATTATCAAATAAAATTTGCTCTAAAAGTCATGGAGCGTTGTTAATTTCATCCCTGTATTGATCACTAGAAAAACCGAACACATTACATTTTCCTTGCCACTCATCTGCCATGGTGGCCTTGCCATATATGTAACTGCAGTTTGGCGACTGATATCGTGATTGTTCATCGTTGGTGCGAGCTCAACTGCATCTTTCACATTGAGGACTGACGGAGGGACGAAAGGCGTTTGAGGGCGTTCCCTCGGTGCTGTGGGGTTCCGAAGGGTGGGGAGCCGGGGAGTTTGAATCTGCCGCGGCATCGCACTGCCCCCTCTTTGTGCCGTGCGCCAAACGACCTCTCATGCGTGCCGTTCCTCGCTTTGTGGAAGGCAGTGGACACGTAGCCGCGCCGCGACAGCCGACGCAGCAGCCCCACGACGTGCGCCGTCGCCGTCTCCGGTCAGCCCAACCAGGCCGCCTCAGCGTCAACAAGCCCCGCTGGCATAACGTCAACAGCCGCAAGACACCTCCATCGTCTTCTGTAACTTGTAACAAGACACATCTTTCGATACAAAAATGGCCCCTAAGCAGCGAATGAGGATCGCCAACGAGAAGGCTTCCAAGAATGTGGCTCTTCGCGGCAACGTACCAAAATCATCGGTAAGTGACCCGTGGACCGCCACCGTCTGGTGAGGTTGTCATGTTTTCTCCAGAGGTATGTCTCGTGGCATACTTACGTTGACGCAATCTTCCTATCATTCGTTTGCAAGATTTTCTGTATTCTGTGATAATGAAAAATTTTGGGGCTCATTCATTTACAATGACTGATTTAGAGGTTCATCCCCATCCAACTGATAAGTTTTGTATATTTTACAAATTTCTCCATTCCTCTCTAATATGCTCTCAAGTTGCATCAAAACTCTGTCTTCATTAGTTGTCAACAAAGCTGCAATAAGTTTACATACTTCCCGTTTCTTTTGTAGCATATGGGTTAATCGTAGGACACGAAGTAGCTGTTCCGATCTCTTCTCAAGTATGAAGTTGAGGATGAATGCTATGAATAACAGACCACTATTGTGACAATGCCATTTTCCAAAGCTTTAGAATGTCAAAAGCCACTTTTTTAAATGCTCGCATGTAGCAGGCTGTTCACAGCCCCAAATCAGTAAATGTGGCCTCCATGTTAGTGTGGAGATTCTGTGTCGCTCCATTTTTTCTCTAAATATATTTCATGCCTTGTTAATTTAATGTCATTTTTCCTTTCTGCTTGAACTATTGTCATTAAGTATTTATGTCTCATTCCTTTTGTTTTCTCCTTCTATTGGGGCAGAAACCTCAAGATGACAAATATCCTGTCGGCCCCTGGCTCCTTGCTCTCTTTATTTTTGTTGTCTGTGGCTCAGGTATGATATTAACCATTCTTTGACTTCTGAACAATTAACTCCTCAATCTGTTGTTGATAATTTAAACCGTTCATTTTCAGCCATCTTCCAAATAATTCAGAGCATCAGAGCAGCATCTGCCATTTAATTTTTATGTTACCATCTTGATTATTATTTTCAATCTAAATGAATTGTTTTATTGACTGATGCATATTTATATGCCACAATGTGGCAAACTTGTACATACAGACTCATGATAATGTACAGCAAGGGTATGGAGATTTAAATTATATTCCTGAAATGACCATTCCAATCAAGCTATAGAAATTAAATTATTCCAAGCACTATCTGTATTTGATGAATGGGCTTTAAAAATAAAACTGATGATTTTGGTGTAATTCCTAATGTTAAGTTTTTTCTCTTATTCCAAAAAAAGAAACAGATGTGGATCAGTGGGCGAGCCTTAAAAGATCAGAACAAAACATATCCTATATCAAAGGCGTGACCGATTTCTTCACCGTCCTGCGAGATCGTTGCCCCAGGACTGTAGGCAACCAAATATACAGAGTCACTGGCCTGACCTCAAACACACAGCCATCGAAACGAGCTTTACAGAGAGCGCCACATCGGATGTGAACACCCGCGCAATCTTACAAGGGGCTAAAAACAGACACGCTCGAAAGCGGCGCACTGCGGTGTGGGTTGCCCACCTTCCAGGCGCCCAGTTGCGTCCGAACATTGGCGGCGTGAAGGTAGCCCACCCATTCGACACGTTACAGCGCCGTGGTACGAAATAAGTGTCACCTTGGCTGCCTGCCCGAGAAGTAAGTGGGTTCAAATCCCAGGCGGGTCCATCTTTTCCTCCAATTAACTTCTGCAATCCAAAGTCTGAGCGTGACGTACCAAAGGGGTGGTCTACCTTCCCGGCGCTGTGCAACAAAAGGGATAAAGAAATTAGAGGGAAATAATTTCCATAATTATTTCCGACCGATGCCTTTACCCTGTCAGCCTGCCAGCCATACCAAGGTCGGTCGATGGGTTCTACTCCTCAGTGAGATTGGTGAGATTACGTTTTCCTCAGTTTAATTCTCAAGCCCTCTGTGTGTGTCGGTGGCTCACGGCGCAGAGGCAGCGGCCGCCACGAATGCGGACCTGGATTCGCGTACCAGGGACGTACCATGGCCCTTCCCAAGACAACCGCTACCTCTGAACTCTGAGCAACATGTTTGTGCTACTGAGTTGGAGAGGATCGGGGCTCTGAGCCTCCTAGCTACCTGAGTGTGACTCATCCAAACTTAGGCTGATGTTTGACTAAGTTTGAGAAGTAATGTAAAACTTATAGCACTGGAATTTTTGGGCCAGAAATTTTATAGAGCTAAATCGGAGTATATTGTGCTGGAGCATACCCTAATGACTTCTACCATATCAAGGACCATTTTTGAGATATTTCCTCCTGGGCTAAAAAAACATTGTTTTGCACAACAAAAAGCATCTTGCTCTAGCAATTTGTGTAAAAAAAAAAAGATTTATTTTGGTTTGGTCCCAGAGTTGAGTAAAATCGCAACAGAGTTAAAAACATTTTTAAAATAAACCTCTATGAGACAAGGGTGGCCTTTCTCCCATGATACCACCACCAACAAATAGCACCCCTCGAACAATAACAATGGTGCTAAGAATTATTATGGTGCTTACAAATTAAATAACAACAGAAGCATGCTGCAACCTGTGCTGCTATAAGAACGCAGCTTCAAATAAAACAATTTAAATATAAATACTTAATGCAGTGAGAAATGTTAAGGCTAATTTTGGTACATTCCATTGATAATGTTTCAGTCTTAATGAAGTAAAAACATAGGGACTAAGTATGAACATACTCAAATAAGATAAATAAGAATAATAATAATAACAAAATAAATTAAAAAACTAAAGCTAACAACAATAGTTTAAGAAAGCAAATAGGACATTATTCTTAAAAAGAATCTGAGATTCTTTGATGTATTTGAAGTCTTAAAGTCTGTTTACAATTGTATATGATCTCATTCTTTGCAGATATGTCACTACCTCTGCCAATATGCTGCCTTAGTGTTGTGTCATGGGTATGAGTCCTGCAATCAAAATTCTTAATCTGAGCAAGTGTGAATGCACCCCATATTCTTATGCACTTACGGCCATAATGGACTGACCAAAGTAACGACTTGTTTCAAAAACTCACATAAAATTGGTGTTTTTCCTGAATAGTTAGAAAAAAATACAAATTGTTTCTTTTTCTTTTATACCCCAGTATCTAACCCAAGGAGCTGTTTTACCATCTCATTGGTGGAAAATGACACTGCACACATGGGACATACTCGATAGAAATTTATACTCATGCCCCTGTAGAGGCCTCGGACAATTCCGTTCTCCTGGTAGGTCATTTTTAATGTAGACAACATACCAGTCCTGCAAGGAAAGGAAGACAAATTGGGTTGAAATGAGCAAAACAGAAATGGGTGCACAAGAACAGCAGGATTCACATACGCAAATTTGCTTGTTTCTGGAGTCATCATGGCCAGTTGCATGCGCCGCCGTGTTACATCAAGAGGGTAAGAAAAGGTTTGAGCAATTGCACCAGCGACACCACCACATGCTAGCTTAGCTGGAATGGATAGGACTAAACCACCTGAAACAGTCAAAATATATCTTAAAGTTTAGAGGAAAAAATTCTAAATGGACCACTGTTTGCTAATTGCTGATTTACCTGTATTTTGTTCACACACATTGCACGTGTACATGGGAAAATATTGCATGCACATATTTTTCAATTGTTCAAAAAAATAAAAATTGCACCCAGCTTGTGGAAATATTCCACATAGAGTAGGCACAAAGCCCCGATACAATGCTAACACTCCTCCTTCCTGCAAGCATAAAACAGAAGGTGAAAATTTAATTTGAAAGAAGGTTCAAAATTATATTCTGCAGAGCTGATGACTTACGTTACGGACAATAGTTACACCTGCATGAACAATCCCCTTGTACTTGTGCTCTCCTTTGACTTGGAAAGATAGTCGAGCTCGAATAGTGTCCAGAGGATATGTCATTGCCACTGCAGTGACACCAGCCAGAGCCCCTGATCCAAAATTTGTTAGGAAAGAACCCAACCACGTAGAAGTTTCGCACATACTGGAGAAGGTCTGCAAGATAATTACAAATTAAAAACAGTCAACAAGTAATGAAAAGAGAAAGAAGATAACAATTAGAAGGTTGTTAGTGGTATCAAAAACTTACTCTTTTGTAGGTGCTATATGCTGTAAACTGTATTGCAGCATAGGGAAATATCCGAACCATTTGAGCACCATTGCCCTTATACAAAGCAAAAATATTCTCATTCTTAACTATGGCTTTTAAGCCAGACCAGACACCTTAAAATAGAAAGAATTAAGAAAAACGAATTAAGAAAAAATAACACAGGAGTGTCTCACAAGTCGCTTTTGAATTTGAGACAAATACTGCCTACCAAGGTTTTTGTAATGATTGTTGTGTGCCTGAAACAGAATCTTCATTCGATCAAGTGGTGCTACTGTTGTTTTAGAACACATTCCTGCAACTCCTGTTTGCCCAGAAAGAAAGCAGTTATCAGTACTAAAGTTGAGTGTGCAAAATTCACTATGAGATGATGACACGAACAATTGTGAACTATCAACATTCATCACTGCAATATAGCAGAAATATACACAACCATCATTTCACAGTATTACTTACCTCCACTCAATAATGTCTTTAACTTTTCTGTGGTTTGATCACTGAACATGGTCGTCATGTTTGCTGATACAATCTTAAACTCTACAAAAACTGAAATCAAGGGTCAAATACGTGGCACCTGCTCCAGAGGGCGAGAGGAATCAGCTGTAACTTTCTCCAGGACAGGTGTCAGTGTCTGGAGAAAGCTAGATGCAGATGGGACGCGCCTTCGGCCTTCGCGCGTAGAACGAACATACGAAAATGCCAATGTCATCCTACTGGTAAAGGATTGAACCTCATTTAAGATTCATCCCAGGTACCGGTGGAGTTTGGAATCTGAACCACAGGCTGACGTACATCTAGTATTTAATTTTTTACGGTCCAAAATGCAGCTTCTTGAGTTGACAGCTGATTGTTTATTTATATATGCGCCTGAACTTTTCATACCAAGTTTTCAAAACTGCCAACACTACACGTGAAATCGGATCAAATAAAAAACTCTGGGTGAACCGGTGCGTTCAGAAACATTGAATGAATTGACGAGGTAAAGATTTATTCTATTTGACAATTAAGATCCCTGGTGTCTACTTGATTATGTTTAGTTTTGGTCCACATGTTCTAGCACGGGTACCAACTACCACAAGGCACTTCTAATCATGAAAAATATATCGGACGGATGTGATGCGATTGGTACAATAACAAAGTCGTTGATAAATTTATGAACTGTTGTTGTTTCATTTTGTCAACATGGCAGACGCGGCTGACCGTCGAGAAGCACGACGTAGAAGAATATTAGAAAATTCCGAAAATCGTCTGCGAATCATAAGTGGTCTCACTAAAGTTGGTTAGTGGTTACTTCTGGCGCAGAAGGTTATAATTCCATTTTGCATACTTTCTGCCAAAAAATTATCCTGAACTGAATTTTACTCTCATGTCCTTTGAAAGTTTCAATCATTGTTCAATTAATTCAAATCTTATTTTTCAAGATGATTCAGGGGACTTGACCCAGAATATTAAGGACGATGGTCTCACCGCTTTGCCAGTTGAGAAGGAAGCGGATGCTTTTCCAACTAAGAGTGATGTTGCTTCTTATAGCTCTCCACTAAGCTACAATAAAGTTTCCTTTTCTGAAGAGGTAAAACATTTCCAATCTACAAGTGAACTTGTAAGTTTATGATGACCAACTGAAGCGCAACTCAGTTGCTGACTTGCTATTTTTTATTGTTGTGTTTTTTCTGACTGTTCTAATATTACATATTTGTTAGGATAATCATCTAACAGAACCTGTGATACCTCCAATGTCCAAATCCATTGGGGCTTCCCTATCCCAACCTCAGTTGCCAAAGTCAATTGTTTCTACATTGTTGGAGACGCGACTGTACCTGGTTGGTCTAGCTATAATAGTGCGATTACTTTTGTCGTCTAACCATGGCTACTTGTTTGGAGATGTAAGTGTTAACTATATAGTATCTGCAAGGATCCATGTTTTCATATCTGACCTGTTGTTTTAATCATTTTTTAAAAAATTCTTTTTTTTTCAGTCAATATTTGTGCCACTATTCACTACTCAGTTTGTAAGATATTTTGGAATTGCCCCTTATGCCAACAGCAATAGTGGTGGCATGATTAATGCAGCTCTTATGCTATCTGGCATGTCGTCTCGGCAAATTAACTTATTAATCAAAACCTTGGGATTCATGAAGGTTTTTCTCACTGACTTTTACATTTACTTCTTCACTTTTATGATGGTGCATGTTTTACTTGAAATTTCTGTGAATTGATGAAGGCCTGACATGTTTTTGCATTTTAGGTGCTTTGTTGTCTTCCCCTTTGATGTAATGATGTAATTTCTTGTCCCATTCGCAAATGCCTTTGTATAGCATTTAATCAAACAAATTTTGATACTGTGTAATTTATATAGTATTTTTATAAAGACATGGTTTTTACTGTGAATAATTATGTGATCAATGGAAACGAGCTTTTTCTGAACAGTTGTGGTATGTACAGGGATGAAAAAATACAGACAGTAGTTGGAAATTCAAGTTATTTAGTCAATTTAATATTGTCTTCTTATGTAAAATGAGAATGAGAAAATTCTGCAAATGAAGCTATAACTGCATTTATTACAAAGGTGCTTCTTGCCTAATTAATTATAATTTGACATATTAAATAGTAATTGTCGAAATTTATTTGACTGGGCCTTTTGTTCCTTGAGAAGCTATGCTTCAATTTGACGGAAATACTACACTTGTAAACTTTGAGTCAGTGGTTTGCCCACTTACTGTACACCTGAATTGCCCACAACATACATGAAAATACTCTTTCTTCAAAATCTCCATATGCAATACTGATTTACATAAAAATTTCTTTTGATAAATGTGTTACACACTTACTTGCATTTCGTACATATTATACAATCACAGAATGAAATGAAAAAGAACGCTAATAAGGTTGTATGTAACTCAGAAGCGCAGCACAGACTATAGAACAGAAGACATTCTGTTCTGACCTGTTTGTTACAGCCAATTTCTGTGCTGAAAGAAGGGCTACAGCCAGATGACAACATTGCTTTGTGAACAAGCCTTATTAACAAATTTAATCACTTCTAAGACATTAAGAAATGTATTACAAGGACACTCCTGAGTCACACCTGAAGTGTATTTCTATACACATTAAATCTGGTTAAAACTAATTTTTGAATGAAAGTGAAATACTAGAGCATGACCTATCCATAATTTAACACAAACACACCCAGACACAGAATGTAAAGAAGCAACACTCCCTTAAAAACCATTATAAAGTTTGTTTGCCAATTTAAGAATAGGACGCAACCTGTTCGACAATGCAGATAGATTAGGTGGCCAATGTCCATCTCACGCTTTCTTGTTTCTAGCGGCTCACTCCTCTAGTCCATTGCATTGTAGAGCGGGCCTCAAATTTCACTTACGTCACAGTTAATTAAGTGTAGTTCCAGTATGTCACTGCTAGCAGCAAATAAGAGCATCACAATTAACCACAGATTTAACGTACATGTGACTTGAGGTACCAACCAACACAAGCAAAATGTCATATTATCACAGACATTATCTAAGATCAAGTAGGTAAAAAGCTTTTAAAAATCACAGTATAATTGATTCTAATTATACAGAAATAAATATATACACAACAATGAAGGCAATGGCTTGAGATGAATTGGCTATGACACACCAAATAGATGAACATAGCCCTGTGAAAATCTACACATCTTTAACCATTTAAAAAATATATATGAAAATTTTTACAAATATACAAGGCAAGGTGGCAAAATTATCATTTTTTTGCCCAAACCATTCATTGGTATTATATTGGTAACACAAACTCCAGGGATAGGATGGATCCAGCAACACAGCAACAGTTGGTTATGGTTCCAACGGTACCAATTCCAATTGAACTTTGCAATATAAAACAAATATAAAAAATAAAAGTAACAGACAGGTCTATGGCTCTAAAACTGCATAAATAAAGTGTGCTTATAAAGCATTATAAGTGCCAGATATCCTCAAAGTAATCCTTAAAGTATAGTTTGTACTCTCCAATTTCTTTGTTTATTTAAAATAAACGCCTATTTTACAACTAAGATTAATCTAAAAAAATATATTTACAATTATGATAAAACTATTATTTGGTCTCTGACAAAAGAATACATTCGTCCATGGTTCACAGTGTTCCCTTTCAGTGTGATAGCTGTTGCTAAAATTTTATTTACTTTACGTTCTTAGGCAGATAATTTCTTACACTAACAAATTTTAAGCCGCAGTAGTCCAAATATATTTAAGCACAAGCCTTTGGAAATTTCTACAATTCTCAATGAACATAAATGTCAAAGATGTAAACTGATGGAAAAACAAATCACTGATAAGGACATTGTTAACATTTGGTGATATTGCTTTGCTGACTATGAGAGTACAACAGATTCAAAAGTAAAGCAAAACACAAAATAACAACTAGATTGTTTGGATGTAGTCTTGCTCCTCATACAGTCTCCTGTATCTGTGAGTAGGCACAGTCCTGCAGTCTTTTTGATCACTCATCTTGTTCATCTTCCTTCAACTCTTCAGGGTTTTCTTCAGCTGCCGTTTGAAGCCACATTTGCTTGTTATGCCGAACACCCTCGCAGAGTGGCTCTAATTTATCAGAGAGAACAGCGAAAGACTGAAAATTTAAATGATGCAAGGTAAGTGTGAGCGGTAATTAGCGTGGCATAGAAAATGAGAGTTGGCCGGAACTAACTAACTCATCTGTATCTGCGTCATGCACATCTTACCTCATAAATTGGCAGGCATATTGAATCAATAAAACCAACTTGCATTAATGGAAGCTGATCTTCTTTTTCTCTGTTCATTATGTCCTAAAATAAAATGCATTGGTTTTAAAAAGTGAAAATATGGACATTTATTACACTTTTAGATTTGAAAAAAGGGAGCTTACAATAGGAGTGATGTGAAGTTCTTTCCGTTCAATGTCACCCTGTTCAAAAAATTCACTAGTGACCAGTTCTGCAACCTGGAAGGATTGTAAGTTTAAATACCGGTACTTTGTGCTCCTACTGTACATTCTTCTCAAGATTTCAATGTTCAGTTAAACTTACTCTCTTTTCCACTTCCCATGGCTTGGTGATTGCAGCTAAATCACAAACTGTCATTGTCATGCCACGCAACAACTCTCTGTGGTCTTCCCTTGACCAATTGTAAGTTGAGGTTCTGACTAAATTAAAAAAGGCTCCTCTTTTTCTGGGAAATTCAAAAACGCTCATAAATATCTAGGGGTAACACCTTTTAACTTTCTTCACAAGATATTTAAATATACCTGAAGTAAACTGCCAGATCAGTAGACAAGATTGCATCTTCAAGCACTTTGATGACACGAGAATATTCATCAGGAGACAAATTTCCTAGGATCTGATTACCCTGACTGTTGAGAATCATTATACACTGGTCAAAATGGTGGTGTTCCATGGTGGATGTAGAATACAACTGAGCTAACGGTGAAGAAGCTCTGAAATAAAATACGTTTGTCAATACAATAGAGAAACCTATGAAATGAAAAGTACCTGTGTCACAAATATTTAATTACTTTATTTGGAAAGAATTATTTGTCCCTCTATGGTCAAGGTCATGACAAAGGCATGCTATGATGAGAGCCAAACATTCAATGTCTCCAAATATTTTCCACCATTGTGTTGCCTGCAAGAAAATTTATTAATTAAATATTAGATTTCTCTTAGTTTAGGGGAGATTAAAAAACTTGAATAAAGTAGCTTACTGTTATGATAGCAAACATCATCTGAGCAACATTAAATGCGTGCCTCCAATTATGGTATGTAACATTTCGATAATTCTTCTTGACACTGAGAAGCCACCGACATAGAACTTCATAATCAATATGAAATCTATTGACAAAGTCCAGATCAAGGAACATTCTCAAACATGCCTGGAAAAAATGAATGAAAGAAACATTAGGGAAATGATTTAAGGGCTCCTACTCCAGTTAAGTTCAGGGACTCACTTTGAGTGTTTCGTCTTGTGTCATATTAATATCATCAAATTTAAAATCATGAAGTTGAAACTTTTGTGCAGAAGGTACCACTTGGCGCTAAATAAAAAGGTTCATTACCATTAATTTGTAGCCCAAATAACAAAACAAACATGATTTAGGGCAACAATTTTTTTTAAAATGTGGTTGAACCTACTTGTAATCTTTTGGCATCGTCCAAGGATGCTGATGCATGGTAGCTGAGAACATCCAAAGTGACACTTTGTTTTGCCATAGCAATTATGGCTTTCTCATACCTGAAATGAAACAAAACATGAGAGCATTTATAACTGTTTTCAGGTTTGATGCTGTATCGTCATGAAATCATACAGTAAGTCATACATACATGTGTGTGTTGTGAATGCCCATACCACAGAAAATAGCAAAAGCTTCCACAAAGTTTTCGTCATTTTTGGTAAAAGGTAGGTCATTAAATTTGTTGATGAGCTACAAATAAAGAAAAAAGAATTTGTAAATTCTATTTTATGCAGAACTTTATGGGGGTTTGTCTTCAAATTACCTGAATTACTCCAATTATTTGCCCAGAAGAATTTTTGATAGCCATACAAAGAATACTTTTGTGCTTAAAGCCTATTCCTTCATCTACTGATGGGTCAAATCTCTCATCTTCATAGGCATTAGGAATGTTCACAGTCTAAAGGGGAAATCACAGATTTGATTAAATTGTCTCAGTTAATATACACTGTTCATAACCATGGACTTAGATATTATTTACCTCTCCAGTTGTTGCTACATATCCAGTTATACCCACATTGATTGGAAATCTGCTTTCAAATGGGCTGGATTCAAAAAGATCACACCTCAGTTCAAAAATTGGGTATGACAAACATCTATAGAACTAACAACACAAATAAATGCTGGTACTAACCTTGTACGAGGGTCATTTTCATCTCTGGTGAGATCATTGGCTTCAAAATCAAAAACACGAGAAAAACTACCCTTAGACGCTTGATGTACAAGAAGGACTTGTACTCTTTGACACTGAATTAAAGATTGTGTATGAGTCAATATACGGTAAACCATATGTTCTATGGTGCTTTGTTCCTCAAAAATCATACGTGCCAAATCAAGGAGAACCTGAAAGTAATTTAATGTGAGATTTTGTCGTTAAAGTAACAATGTGGTTCATAAAATGAACGGGAAAAACCTACTTGATTCCGTTTTACTTCTAGTTGGCTTTTTTCATATAGCTGTGCGTTTCTCAAACCAATGCCACAAAATTGCAAATAGCTGGAGAAGACCTTTTCGTCATTTTGAGTAAAACAAGAAATTTTCCCTCTCTCCATTTCTTTGTTGATTACCTAAAATAAAAGATTATATTTTTTCTTTAAATATTAATTTTTGAAAATTTTGAACTTTTTATTTTTAAGATGAAACAACAAAAGAACACTTACCTGTGCAACTCCTATGACATCTCCATTTGTATCTTTAATTGGCATACAGAGTAGAGCCCGAGTTGTGTAGCCAGTGCTAGCATCAATTTCTCGATTAAATCTTTCATCCTGGCAAAAAACGTAATACATCAGTTCAGCATAGGGACAGGGCAAGTATTCCACTTGTTACACGTCTGCTTCGACAAACCTTGTAAGCATCAGGAATGTTGACGGGCTCTCCGCTCTCGGCCACGAAGCCGACGATGCCCATCCCCCAGGAAATGCGGATCTCCTCCTTCTTCTCCATCTCCTCGAGGGTGGACCGCGAACAGACGTCGAACAGCTTGGACACGAGCATGCGCGGCCTGGTGGGCGTCGCGGACGGCGTCGCGGACGACGTCGTGGACGCTGCGGTGGAGACCGAGGACGCGGAGGAGGAGGAGGATGGCGACGCACTGCCATCCGTGCAGTTGCCGCCTCCCCTGCCGGCGGCCTGGACCAGGAACAGCGAGCCGCGGTCCGCGCGCAGCAGCATCGACACGTTCTGGAGGATCTTGTGACACAGCGATCGCACGTCCAGCTCGTTGCAGATGTCCTTCACCTGCGGAAGGCAGCAGAAGGCAGCAAACGTCAGTGGGGAAGTCGCTGGGCAGTGCCCTCGGCAGTGCCGCCACCACCGCCACCCCAATACCACTCACCAGCTCGAAGATGAGCTCCTTCTCGTCCAGGTGGCGCAGCTCGTTCCTGGACATGCGCTGCGGACGGCCGTGGCCGTGACACGACAGCAGCGGTGTGCCTGGCGCCGCGCCGCCGTCGCCGCCGAGGCTCTCGGGGTGGCCGACGCACACGGACAGGAACGTGGGCGTGCCGTCGATGGTGTTGACGATGGGCTTGAGCAGGCCGCCGCGCTCGAACTCGTGCGCCGAGATCTTGCGCACGGGCGTCGTGGCGCCTGAGCCGCTCCGGGACGGCGGCTGCGGCGCGCCCACCCCCGAGGCCCCGGCCACGCCCCCCGCGACGCCGGCGGGGCCGTGTCCCCCTGGAGGGCCGGGGTGCGTCGGCGACACGAGCGGGCCGAGCAGCTCGGCGCCCGCGCCGGGCGTGGCATGCGACACCAGCCACGCGTCCACCACCTGCCGCGTCGCCTTCCTGGGGAACAAGAACAAGGGCACGGTTCAGTTCGATTTGCCCTCTGTTGACTCAAACACCGCCCGAAAAAGCGGCCCGCGCCCCAGCCGGGCCGGCCGGCGCCCCGCGCGCCCCGCCCACTGGTGCCGGGTGCCCACTGGCCGCTGGCCGTTACATCACGGCGTCGGCAACTCGGCGTCACCGTCACGCCGCGTCACGCTGTGCACGGCCACGGCACGGCCACGGCACGGCGTCAGCACGGAGAAAGCAGACCGGCCGGCCGGGCCGCCAGAGACCGCCATAGGCCGCCACCCCACACCCCGCATTCAGCTCGGAGCAGCGCGTCAGCGCGGCCTGCACCTTCCGTCTGCCAGTCTGGCCCCTTGCAGCTACTTGCAGCAGATGCCAAGGCAGATGCACCGTTGCCATTGGCTGCCTTTCAGCAGCCGTGGCCATCGTGTTTGATAACGGCTGCGCACTGCAAGGCCTGCCGGGCCATGCCGGGCGGCCCTCGGGGCGGCTAGGGGCGGCCTGCCTGCACTGCAGACGCTGCGCTGCGCTGCACCGGCCGCTGCGGTTGCGCCTTGCCGCCTTGCGCCCCAGAGGTGCAGACTGCGACTGCAGCAGAGGCTGCCACTAACCTTCGCCGTGATAAAGCCCGCCGCCCCCGCAGTGTCTCAGTGTCTCGAGGCGCAGCGGTGCCCTGCCGTGCCTAGTGGCCGTGCCTAGTGGCCGTGCCGTGGCGCCGGCCTGGTTGCGCAACCGCGACCACACACATCTTTAAATCTGGTGCGGGGCTGCGGCAGGCTGCGGAGCGCGCTTTCGAGTCCCAGTCCCCGCAGTGCGGTGGCGGCCTGGCGGCGCGGTGGCGGCGGTGGATGTGGGTCAAAGATGCCACTCCACTCGGAGATCGCGCAGGGCGCAGTCATGGCGCAGTCACGGCGCAGCACTGCGACGTACGCGGTACGCGCCGCCAAATGGCTGAAGCAGCACGCGCCCACTTCAAAGGGGCCGCGACGCGACGCGACGCGATACGGCAGTACTATCAAATTGCTGTCAAGGTTGGCCTGATGCGCAGCACCGCGCAGCACGCAGCCCCGGCGCGGCGCCGTGCCGTCCGCCCCGTCCGCCCCGACGGACGCAGGGAGAAGGGGAGGGGCGTTGGAAGCTCTCCAAACGATCATAACCCCCGATGTGGCCAACTTGAGACGCATTTATTTTGGCCCGACCAGGCCGTCTAGTGTCTAGCGTCTATCTAATCCACCCCGCGTGCGCCGCGGGCCCAAGGTCTGCTGGCGGTCGACTGACTTTGCATCCGCGAGGCGGGCCGGCCCGGTGCCTCAAATTGTCAGCGGCCACCAAACTGAACAGCCGCTCTGTCGCAGTCGTGGAGGGTCCCCGTTGGGGTGTGCGTGGGACGGCGACGAAACGCCTGTTCGGAGTCAGTCGGCTAGACCTGGTAAACTGAGAGTGGTGCTCACCTGAGGAAGTAGTCGTGCACGAAGTCGGGATGCTCGTCCAGCCACGCCTCCATGCGTGCGCACTCCGAGTCGTAGTGGGGTTGCGGCGACGACGGCGGGTTGGCCGTGCGGGGCGCCATGGCGGGGGCGGACGAGGGCAGCGTCAGGGGCGCAAGCTGGGGTCCGAGGCCGGCCGAGCCGAGGCCGGTGAGGCTCTGCAGCGAGCCGCTCTTGCAGCCCTTGGACCCCGCGCACCCCTTAGACGCCGCGCCCAGGCCGGAAGGGGGCGCCACGCCGCTGGGCGACGGGACCGTCTCAGCCGTCATCCTCAGCTCCTCCAGGCTCCTCAGGGTGTGGAGTCCTGCAACACAAGGCACACGTCCGTCAGCAGGGTGCATCGACCGCGGGACCGCAGGCAGGCTGCAATATTAAGGCCGGAAACCGGCCGGGCCAGCCGGCGGCCGGCGAAACCGACCTCATCAAAGATGAAAACGCAATCTCCGGCTGTTCCGCGGTTCGCTAACATGCCGCCGCGCCGCTGCACTCCCGCCGGCCATACGGCCACACGCGGAGCAGAGCGGCGCGTAGCGGCGCGCGGGCCACAAAACAGTGCGCCGCCACTGCCGCTGCGCTTTCGAGTTTCTCCGACTACGACTCGTTTGATTATTAAAATACTCGCCAAAACTCGCCGTCCGATCCGATCCGCACTTTCACCTCCTCAACTTTCGCACAGTACAGAGGCCGGGGGGCCGGGGCCGGCCGCTGCGTGTCGCGGCGTGCAGCGAGCCTGTCATTGCGCTCGGCGCTCGACCTGCCGCCCACGCAGCCCGACAGCCCGGCGCGGGGACGCGAGATGCAAGCCCCTTGGCGCACGGCGCACGCTTACTCGACCACTTGGCCGGGCCGGCCGCCGCTCCGCGCCGCGCGCCGTCCCACCCGCCTGCTCGTCGTCGGCGCGGCGCAGCGCGGCGCGTGGATGCTGCAACAGGTGGCTTCCCCGCCGGCCCGGCCCGGCCCGGCCCGGCCAGTCGGGCTTATCAGAGCCCTCGTCAGAGCCGCGGCTGCCCGCGCACGCTAATTCCCCGCGACTGGCGGCCGCGGCGGGGCGGGGCGGCGGGGCGGGGCGGGCTTCCCTGGCGGCCGGCTGGCCGTATGGAGCGGGGCCCTGGCCGGCCGGCCCGGCCGGCTCAGACTGGCCGAAACACGCCGCCGTGGCGCCAGCCTGTTTGTACACATGGCAAAGTGTTTGGCGGAAAATTACGCCCCGCCACGCCCCGCCCGGTCACCATGTACTCGTGATGATGGGTATCGCAAACTCCACGACGACGGCGTCGATGGCGTGGACGGCGTGGTCGGCGTGGTCGGCGTGCGTCACGTCCGAGACGACCAGACACGTGGGCATGCGTGACGGCGTGACGGCCGGGCTGGCGCCGTGCTCGGGGCGAGGAGGGCGTGGCGGGCGTGGCCGAGTGGCGCCAAAGCCGCCCGCGAAACGTACGCCGTCCAGCCATCCCGGCCGGCATGGGCAGCATGGGCAGCTTGGGCGGCGGGGCATGGGCGTTATCGATATAAAAGGTAACAGGAGAGCAGATAGCCGCGTAACGAGGTGCGGCGCTGCCACGGCGGTGTGGCCGAGGGAGGGGAGGGTCGCATTTTCAAAGAGCCTCTCAGTTTTCCTTGGCGATTATCCGCGCGAGAGGAGCGCGCCGACGCCGTCATCAAGTGGGCCGCGGGAGAGCTGCGCGCCTCACTCCGCCCCGCCTGGCCCCGCCTGGCCCCGCCTCGGCCGGCTGTCTTTGGCTTTCGACCTTCTCTCGAGTTTGTCCTCGGAGTCACCCAGCCGTCCCCTTCCGAGTTATTAAATCATCCTTGGGATCACAAGGCTCGCTCTATCATCGTGATAAACGTGACGTCATCTCCCCGGCTCCGCGTGGCTCCGCGCGGCGCCGCCGCCCCACTTTCCTTTCCCCCAGGTGGGGGCGTCACGTGTCCTCCCACCCGCATTCATTAGCGAGCACGCGACATCCCCCTCCCCTCCTTCTTTTCATTTCTTCGGTCCATCTACCGCAACCTACTTCCGGGTGAAGTGCTGGGCCCGGCTGGGCGCAGCTCGCCACTGCCAACCTGGAGCCCTGAAAGCCTAGATGGGGCGGCACGGCGGCACGGCGGGCGTCCACCGCGCACCCCGCGGCATGGCGGCGCCCTGCCTCGCGCCCTGCTGCCAGCTGCTGCCCTCGCGGGCTCACGGCGGCGTGGCTTTCAAAACGCAGGACGGCGGCCCCGTTCACAACGCTCTGGCGCGCACCGTGCGTATGTTGGCATCGCACTCCGCCCCTCCCTGGCCCCGCGGTGCCCCGCGGTGTCACCGCGCGGTCATCGGCCAGCGGAAGGGAAGGGCGGGGAAGGGAGGGGAGAGGCGGGGCAGCAGGGACAAAAGGCGCGCGGCAAGCGCGGCACACCTAGCTTGTCTACGCCCGGCCGGCCCTGCCCGGCCCGGCATGTGTTTAGTTTCCCCCGCTTCCGGTCCTTGCCGCTTTGTGTCCGTGCTTGCCGTGCTTTGCGTCCGTGTGGGTGAGTGTGGTGCGTGCGTGTGTGTTTGTTACCGTACGCGGCCAGAAAGGGCCGAGTCAGCCCGCGCTGCAATGGCAGGGATTTGTTACCCGCTAGATCTTCTTCGCACTGCACTGCAATGCACTGCAATGCACTGCACCAGGACGGCGGCCGACGTGGGAGGGGCGGGAGGGGCAGGCCCGACTCTGCTATTTATACGCGGCGGGCCGCGGGCCGCGGCTGCGACGCGATCCGAGTCAAACAGTCCCTGCAGTGCAGCTGCGGCGTCCGAACGCCACCGCCGTGGTCCTGTTGGCGGTCGCGCGCGCAGAGCCCTGCAAGCCCCACGGCCCCCACGCACTCTTTTATCTCGATTCGAGGCACTCAATACACACCGTAATCTAGTCCGATTTCCCCGTCCGTCCGGCAGGCAGGCAGGCAGGCAGGCAGGCAGGCAGGCGATGCCGGCTGACTCGCCGTCCGGCCGCGCCCCGCGCCTCGCCCTAGGCCTGGCCTGCCCCGGCTACGGCTTCCTGGCCTTCCCGGCCTTCCCGGCAAGCCGCGGCCGCCAAATCACCGCGATGAGATTGCAATCGGCTGCGACAAGTGGCGAGAGCGGCCCTCCGTGAATGAGCCGCCTCCGCTCCGTCCACCCGGTCCACCCCGCACTGCCCTGCATGCGTTATGCGTTGTACGTACGTTTCTTGTGCGGGCAGGAGACGCAGGCCGCGCACGAGGCCATGCAGTGGTAGCGGCTGCAGCGGTTGCAGCGGCAGAGGCTGTGGCTGGCCTGGGTGGGCCTAGTGCCGTGGGCGGCGTGGGCCATGGGCTGCGCCATGGGCTGTCCCATGGAGGGCAGGGTGCTGGGGCTCATGCCATGCCCGTGGCCGTGGCCGTGGACGCCGCAGTGGAGGCCGCCGTGGAGGCCGTGACGGCCTAGCTGCCGCTTGCCAGACTTGCTGCACTTGGACTTGCTCCTCTTGCGGCACGACGACCACCAGCGGCTCAGCTTCTGCACCAGCCGGCCGTGCTGGCCGTGCTGGCCGTGCACGTCGAGCGGCACTCCATGGCCGTAGCGCAGGGGCTGCAGGGGCTGCAGGGGCTGCAGGGGCTGCAGGGGCGGGGGCGGGGCGGGGGCGGCCCAGCCGGGGTGGGGGCCGTGACGGCCTGTTGGGGCCAAGCAGCCATACCCCGGCGTGGGGCACCCCGGCTTGGGGGACCCCGTGGGGGCCACAGTTGAGGCTTTCAGGGGACTCCGGGAGGAGTTGACGGGGAGCCGAGCCGTGGAAAGGCTATCGCGAACGGGAACCTCGCAGCAGCTGGAAGCAACATAAACAGAACATGAGTCCTGGGGGCAGGGAGCAGGAAAGAAGACTTGGAGCACCGCGAGGCGCCGCGTCGTGGCGTCCGGGACTGTCCAGGACTGTTCAGCGCGTCGCCGTGCTGGCCGTGCCGTGCCGGGGGCGGGGCGAGCGGGGCGTAACGCGTGATTCACCTCGAGCCACCCGCCACCCGCCGCGTAGCCGCGTACAACTCGACCGAAACTGTTTACCGAACTGCTTTCTCGGAAGGCGTGTTTGGACTGACGGGCTGAGCAGAAACACATGCCTCGGCCCCGCGCCCCGCCCCGCGCCCGCAGTGGCGTCAAAGGGAAGGAGGGCCCACCAGCCGCGCCAGCCTCGCCAGCCCGACAGGAAGGACGAGCTCCAGCAGCTGCGGGCAGGCCGGGCAGGCCGCGGGGCGCGCTGCATGCTGCATCCTGCGGCCGCCGTTTCCGCCGCCGAGGCCCCGCTGACGTTTTGGCAGTCCCGGGGGCGCCGTGGCCGCGACCGCGGCGTGGCGCTTGGCACCGGCAGGACCTGGCGGACTAGCGCGCCGGCGGGGCGGAAGAAGGGAGGGGCCGACGGCGGCTTTGCAGTACAGCCAGCGTGACCACACCACCGCACTGTCACGCGCCAGCCACGTCACGCCGCGTCAGCGCGTCACACGGCCGCCCGCCACGCCCACCAAACTGTGTCAGATCGCCGTGATAAAAGATCTTCGGGTAAGCCGTGGTGTGTGTCCGCGTTCGCTCTGCTCCGCTCTGCTCCCGTTTCACAACGTCAAAAGCACCATCAATCTCGTGCAGGTGCAAACGCCCCGGTCCGGCCTCGGAAACCTTCGGCACCGTCGGCATGCCGTCGGCACCTGCATCCCGCTTTTTGAGAGTGCAGCTCAGCTAGCCGAGCGGTGCATCGCGTGAGGCGCCGCGCGGCGTGGCGGTGCGCGAAGTGCATAGACAACATAGGGACTAGACGAGAAGCCAGCCTATGCTGCTGTGCTTTTGGCCTGTCCGGTTTATTGCCCTCCTTTGTGGCGTCCGAGGCGAGCAGTCCCGGAGACAGCCAGGGGGGATGAAGCGAGGGTGGCGGGGATTTTTATGACCGGTGTACGTGGTGTACTTCGGGAGGCTCCGAAGAGCTCGGCTCGCCTTCGGCTCGCCTATCCGCTCGTGCTCTCCGGGACTCCGAGCCAGCCCCGAGCGGCGCACAGCTGGCGGCGGGGCGAGCCGCCTCCTCACCGGTTGTAAAAATCCCCGCCACCCTCGCTTCACCCCCTTTGGCCGTCTCCGGATCTCGAGCGTTTTCGGACGCCACAGGGGGGGCAATAAAAATCCGTCTTTTTATTGCCATTTCTTGTCTAGTCCCTATGTTGTCTATGGCGAAGTGTAAGGTGCGTTGGCCCTGGCCGCCGCCCTGGCCAGTCCAGGACTCTGGCGGGCAGGCCCAGGGGCCAGGCCGCGCCGCGCCGCGCCACGCCACGCCGGACCACATTCCTGTCCACGCCGTGGCGTGGCGTGCCGTGCCGTGCCATTCCATTCCACGCCGTGCCGGTCCAATCCCATCCGACCCAATCCCAATCCCCACTTCCTTATCGCCGCGCCATCTGCCAGCGCGTAGTTCTCTCCCTTTTTTGCCGCCTTATCGCCTCGTTTGCTTTGCTTTTTCAGAGTCGTGAAACGCAAAGACTCGCCTAGAATCCATACACACAAACACGTGGACGCACGTCGGTGGTGCGGCGCGGGGCGCGGGGCTCCACCCACCGGGCTGGCCTTTCCTGCCGCCGACCCACAGCGACGTCACCGCCAGCCCCGCGGCCCGGCCAGCCGATTTCGAACAGTCGCCCTATCTCTCTCGCACGCAAGGGGCGTCGCATGTGAGTGCGAGAGAGACAGAGCGACGCTGCTCGGAATCAGCCTGCAGCACCGCGCGTGAGGCGGTCTCGATAACCCCGCTGGGAAGCGCGCTTTGTATCGCCGACGAGGAAAAACACCTCCCCCGAAACGAACGACTCGACTCGACGCGGAGAAAAACACAGGAGTCGCAGAAAAGCGCGGCGGGTCGGACTCCCGGCCGGCCGGCCGGTCAGCCTCAACACGGTGCGAGTCCAAGTCCCGGGGCGCGGGGCGTCGCGGGGCGTCGCGTGGCGTCGCGGGGCGTCGCGGGGCCCGGTGGCTTGTTAGACTGGCAATGACGTGCCGCCACACTGGCGCCAAGCGGCCCGCGGCGGCGCCACGCCTGGAGCCGGCCACGCCGCCCTGCACGTCCATTCCGAACGCCGCTCTGCCTCTCTCGCCCTCACGGGGCGTTCCGCAGGAGAGCGAGAGAGACAGAGCGAGCAACGCTGCACGGAATTGCTTTACATGCCCAGCGTCCTGGCCGCGCCGCCGCGGTACGGCCTCCGAAGCGGCGAGCGGCGCCAGCGCGACGGAGAGGAGCACAGAGCAGCGGACAGGTTTGGCGGACGCGGCGGGGCGGGGCACTGCCGGGGCAGGGCAGGCCGTCGCGTGGACCGCGTGGACCGGCAGCACCGCGGCACCGCGGCAATGCCCCCAGCGCCTCGCCGCCGCGGCCACAGCGCCACAGCCCAGCGGCCTGGCTGCAGCGCGCGGCAGTGCTGCACACGAGTGCCACACGAAATGATTCGCCCTTCTCCGGTTCCGCGCGGCGCGGGGATTGATTCCGCAGTCCGCGTGGGCGGCGGCTGGCTGCTGGATACAGCTGCTGGCCGTGATGGGCGGCTGGCTAATCAAGCCCGCGGCATTGTGTTACGCCGCGTGTAATTGGCCAGGCAGGCAGGCAGGACGCGCCAAACCGGGGCGGAACCCGCGTCACGGCGACGGCATAGCCCGCCATTGCGGCGGCCTGGTCTGGTACACCACCGCAAACAGGACGTCAGCCAGTCCGCGTCAGCGCAGATAGCCTGCTTGACCTGGAAGCCGCAGCCGGCGCGCGCCCGCACCACAGCGGCGCGGTCGGGTTGCCTACCCAGCACGGGGCTCTGGCTGGCCGCTCGCCGGTGCAGCAGCAGCACCGCGGCGTCGCGGCGTCGCGGCGTCGCGGCCCGTGAGGGCGGTGAGGCGGCCGCCGAGTCTCGGACACCTGTTGCCGTTCAAGAGGGCCAAGAAGCAGGCCGATAGCACGGGATGGCGCTACGCCGCGGCTTCTGCAGGCCATCCCCGCCGTCGGCGCGCACCCCCTCCCCAGCCACTGGCGCATTAACAATGCAAATTGCGAACTTCCTATATCACTTTACCGAGCAGCGGGGCGGGCGCCGCGCGCAGCGTTCCAGTCGGATAATGTATTCATCAAGCCGGTCATCAGGGGCGCGGAGGGCGCGGGGCGACACTGCAGTCATCGACACGGCGACGGCCTCGCTCTCCGCGACGCGGTCCTTCCAAGACGAGTGGCGGGCCTGGCGGGCCTGGCGGACCGGTGCCGCGTCTTTAGTAAACTTTGTTTACCTCCCGAGTGAAGTAGAGCGACACGACACCGGCGGGCGGTGGGCGCGCGATAAGCGGTCGGGGCTGATGGCTGATCCGTGCAAATAGTGCCGTGCAGCGGAAAACAAAACGGATTGCGCGGGAGAAATAAATAACAGCGTGAAGCGGGCCGGACAATGAACCTCGAACCGAGTGGAGGCGAGGCGAGGCGCGGCGCGGCCAGGGCGAGATTGCGCGCTTTTTGCGAGGCAAGGCGGACAACGGCGAAGCCCGGCGCGGCGCCACGGCCGGCCACGGCCAGGGGCCGACGGGACGGGGACGCCGGGACGGGCCCAGCAGTGGAAAGTCACGAAGCTCGCGCGGCCGCCAAGCCGCCAAGCGCTGCGATGTACTTGCCACCGCCTGGGAGCCTCGGCCCTGGCCAGGCTTATCATCATCTCCATTTCGGCGGCCCGGGCGGATCGGTAGAAAGCGATGCCCGCCGTGGCCGACGCCGACGGCCAGGACGCCGCAGTGCGGGGAAGGGCGGCGGCCCGCTGGGGAGGCAGGGCAGGCAGGGCAGGCGATGGCCACAACAGAGCTGCGATAGTGGACGCGTGATAACCAACCGAGCCTCGGCGGCCTGGCCGCCCGCCCCGAGGCCCGCCCGGCCTGCCATGCTTGGCCCCCAGCGGGGTCGTCACAACCCGAGGCCCCGCGCGGCCCCGCCCGGCCCCTCCCCGGGGCTTCCCCACGCTGCAGAGGCCGCCGACGGCGCGGTATGGGTTGGCCAGGACGCATCGGCTGGCCTCCGCAAGGTCGTCGGGGTGGTCGCGACCGCGGCGGCGCCTCCAGGACCTCCAGGGCGGCGGTGGTGATCCGCGCGAACGGGGAACGGGGTCACCGGGCAGGAAATGGAGGCCGCGCACCGCGCACCGCGACGCGAATAGCAAGCAGCCTTTATTATCGACGCCCCGCGAACGTCTCAGCGTCTCAGCTCTCCGGCCGCCAAGTCACCCTCGACGTCCCCGAGGCCGCCCCGCCCTCGCCGGGACACCGGCACTCGACACTCCAACGCCAGGGTAGTAGTACGTATTACGGTGTCGCGCTACTGCCCGGCGTCAGACGCAAAACGAAACACAGTTGCGCAATCGACAATGGGCGGTACGGATCAAACACGGCGCGGCCGCCTCGCTTGCATGACCGCCACTTGACGCGACACTGCCAAAGCGACGAGACGCCGAGCGCGGCGGCGTGGTGGTCGCAGTGCGAGCC